ACAGCAGGAAGATTTAAGTATAGAGAATCACCATAGTCTACTAACCCATGATACAGCAGGAAGATTTAAGTTAGAGAATCACCATAGTCTACTAAACCATGATACAGCAGGAAGATTTAAGTTAGAGAATTACAATATTCCACTCAACCATGACACATCAGGAGATTTAAGGTAGAGAATCACAATAGTCTACTCAACCATGACACATCAGGAGATTTAAGGTAGAGAATTACAATATTCCACTCAACCATGACACATCGGGAGATTTAAGGTAGAGAATCACCATAGTTTACACAACCATGACACAGCAGGAAGATTTAAAGTAGAGAATCACCATAGTCTACTCAACCATGACACATCAGGAGATTTAAGGTAGAGAATTACAATAGTCTACTCAACCATGACACATCAGGAGATTTAATGTAGAGAATCACCATAGTCTACACAACCATGACACAGCAGGAAGATTTAAGGTAGAGAATGACCATAGTCTACTAAACCATGATACAGCAGGAAGATTTAAGGTAGAGAATCACAATAGTCTACTAAACCATGACACATCAGGAGATTTAAGGTAGAGAATCATAATAGTCTACACAACCATGATACAGCAGGAAAGATTTAAAGTAGAGAATCACCATAGTCTACTAAACCATAATACAGCAGGAAGATTTAAGTTAGAGAATCACAATAGTCTACTAAACCATGACACATCAGGAGATTTAAGGTAGAGAATCATAATAGTCTACACAACCATGATACAGCAGGAAAGATTTAAAGTAGAGAATCACCATAGTCTACTAAACCATGACACAGCAGGAAGATTTAAAGTAGAGAATCACCATAGTCTACACAACCATGATACAGTAGGAAGATTTAAGTTAGAGAATCACCATAGTCTACTAAACCATGACACATCAGGAGATTTAAAGTAGAGAATCACCATAGTCTACTAAACCATGACACATTCAGAAATGATTTATGATGGGAAAATGCATTTTGGCTTTTATGACTCCTCCTATTTCAAGAAATCAAGCACAACGTGACACACAGTAGTTTCATGGAGGTGAGAATAAAGTTTATTTTTCTTATGGATTATTGAAACAGAAATATTTTAATGGTTTCTTTCTCTATTTGTAGGGGTCACAAGCCAGTTAACAAAAGGGCTCAACTACTAACAAAAGAGGTCTGTATAACATGTTTTTCTTATTAAACAGTGTATAAATTTATAAGAGCATAAAGAGTGATCAATTGAAAATATGGAAACACATCTATAAAAAATGTAATAGGTCTGTGTGTGCCTTTAGAGCAACACTAAATCAGTTTGGCAAAAAGTTATAATGTTTCAAAAAAACACTACACCATGTCTCATGTCTCTTTATAATACATGTATTTTCATGTCAAGAAGAAACCCCTCATATTTTCAATTACTTACTGCTTACAGAGCTCTAGATAAGGATGCGTACTGCAATCCGAGTCAGCAAAAGCTTATTGATTATTATTGACTTTATCAAGCACTCATGATACATGGATGACAAAAATGTTCTATAATTGACAGTTTAGTGTAGAACCAGAACAATTTAAGAAGAATTACGTGACAAATATGAGTTCATCATACAAATATTTCACTCGAGATGATGAAACTGTAAACAGTGCAAGGATTGTTTGCAAAATCATATATGATCTCGTCATTTCTTGCACTGAACTTGGTGATCAAACAGCAAAGAAACACTCTGGAACTACAGTTTCTGAAAAGACCATTCAGTCTAGAAAGAAAAAAATTTCATGGGTAGTGGTGGTTGGTGAGAGGGTAGATAAGAGACTGAAGTGCAGCATTTGCATAGAGAGAAAAGTGAGAAGCATATGGGCGAATGAAGGATCACCTAATATTCAAAAGAGCAGTATTGAGAGGCATGGGCTGTCTTCAGAACACCAGCAGGCAGAGGAAGGTTTACTGAAGGAATCTGGAGACAAGTAAAATGTATGACAGTGATGTTGACAAGGAAGATAATTCAATCTCTGTATCAGATGATGACAGTAAATTGTTTTGTACAATCTTTTATGTATCAAAGGAGGTGTTGCCATCTAATAAAGTCAACAGTTTACTTGAGTTACAAAACTTGAATGGAGCAAATATCAAATATAAGAATTTAAGCTATGATATACAGTCATGTATAAGTTATCCAGAGGTCACTTATAGAAGAAATCATTTTATCCGAGACATATGCAACAAAGAAAGATGAAAGCACAGATTTACCAATACAGAAACATTTATCAGTATGTATAAGGTATGTGAAGCAGTAACAAAGTTTTTAACAAATGTAGCCACGGAGGATGGAAAAGCTCACACCACTGTCAGTCACCTGATAAAATGCCTCACCAACCTCGGGCTTGACACAGCTAAGACAGTTTCTCTAGCAACAGATGGTGCATCAACAATGACAGGTAAAAAGACAGATGTTGGTGTGCATATGAAATCAAAGTACTCCCCCTTTGCAGTACAAACCCATTGTATTGCCCATAACCTAAACTTAGCTGTGATAGTTTCAATTATAAAGCTGGACACTCTCAAGACTTTAAGAGATAATTTTAATTCTTTGTATTATTTCATGAGTGGGTCAAGTAACCGTACCTCAAAACTCAACAGACTTCAAAAACTGTTAGGTGAGTCTGAACTTACAATAAAAGAGCCACGTAGCATAAGATGGCTTGGGTTTAAAAATGTTGTTGAAGCTGTGTATGAGAGTTATAACTCAGCCCTGGTTCCCCTTTCAAACTTTGCAGAAGAGAAATATACTACTACCCTAGTTTGCACAAATACTTTTCAGAATATAAGACAGTGATGCTAGTGTCATTTATGCTAGGTGTCTCACTAAGCATTGTAAGAACATCATGAATATCAGATCTGAACCCAATCAAGCATATATGGGATATTCTGGAACGATGCCAAAGACAGTATTTTCCACTTCCATCAACTAGACACGAGTTGAATGACTTTTTCCTGGAAGAGTGGTGTCGCATTCCTCCTGCAGAATTCAAAACGCTAGTAGACTCTATGCCATGGTGAATACAGGCCATACTGGCTGCACATGGTGGTCCAACACCCTATTAAGTGACTTTACATTGGTATTTCCATTTTTTTGGCCACTACCTATATGTAAGAAGAATTTGTACCTTAAGGAGAAAAAAGGTGGATTATTTTAAATACTCATTGAAATTTTGCTTTTCAGCATTGAGTTGGATTTCAGGGAGTAAATACTCATTGAGCTAAAATCGTATCTAGAGCTCTGTGTATAAACTTTATTTTTAATCTTGTTACAGAAAGTGTTCTACATTGATTGATTATACTACTAAAAAGTTTAAAAACATCTACAGAGGTATGCCTTTGTACTAAAATTTACAATATCTAAAATACTGATGTTTGTAACAGTTTAGTTATTTTATTAATGTAAGGCTATACCACAAGTATTTCTGATTTGTTGCATTATGTCAATTTTCTATGCTTTTTACAGGAATTGGCTCAAGTTTTTAAGAAAGGTCAAACTGAACGAGATCCACAAAGTATAGAAAGAGTGGAAGGCATTGGAAATCAAAGGTATGAGTGTTTTAAAGCTGCTTCTTTTACAAAATACATTCTGTTATTTGTCACTCACTCCAAGTATCATGTATGATTTCTCACTGACTGTAATTATGATGTAGGATATACAAATTCTAACTGATTATACCCATCATTTAGGGTATATTTCTCACTGACTCTATCTATCAATTAAGGTGTATGATTTCTCACTCTAACCATCATGTCTGAGATATGATTTCTTACTGACACCATTCTACAGATATACAGACATGGGATATTCATATTTGGTATTTGTATTTAAATGCATTCAAATACAGCTTTGGAAGTATTCATACTTGTATTCAAATACTTTGGTAAGGAAAATTAAAGTATTTATATTCAAATTCAATGGCATAGTATTTGTATTTGCTGAATGATTTACTGAATACTTAATATTGAAAGAGAAAATATCAACTTTTGTACTCATCAAATTTCTAGACTGTCATTATCACATCCAAAGCACATTAATTTCTCTTTCAGTACAAGCTTTGTGCAAACAAAGCTTGTACTGAAAGAGAAATTAATACTTTGCTGTACAGAAAACAATGTAATATAATTTGTCATTTGATAAACAAAAACCTTGGCTTACTATTGGGAGAACTATTGACAAATCCTGAAAGAGTGGATGTGACAAGAAAGGTCTGAATTTTTATTTGATGGCTATGTAACCAAACAGAATTAAAGGCTAAGAAAATTATGCTTTGCCTGAGCGATGACAACATTATAATGAGTAATTTACGTTAAATTTTGTACTGGTCTGTGTAGTTTGACTAGCCTGCTCAAAATCTGATATGACTTGCTTAAGTCTTTACATCACAGCTGAATGAATATGAATATCTGAGTTTATAACTGACTAGTATCTTTGCACTTCTTGTGTTTAAGTTTTTTACATTTCTGGCTCAGCTAAATAACATACCCTGAACTGTGACTAGATTTAAAAGATTCCAACACTTCCTATATGTGATTACAAAGAACTTTAACTGTTTAACTTCAAACACTTTCACATATTTACATGTTAAACTGCATTAACATCTATAACATATTTACATGTTACACTAATATATTGTAGTTGTTCAACAACTCCTATGGGAGCTGAAGCACTTCTTTGGCTTCTTAGCCCTAGGCATATATGGTTGACAAAGCCATGACTACTCTAACTTGATCATAATTTGATAACTGAATATTACTCATTGAATATTCAAAAAACTGTCTAGAGTTTCTGCTTTCAATTAACATCTGTATTTGTTTTTTATTCTATTTTGGGCACTGAAACTTTTCACACTCAACCCTTGTAACAGCTATACATAGAGCTATTGCACACAGCTTTGCAAACTCAGGCATCATTTCATTATGCAATTGTATGACCCTCTGGCACAGACTCTGAGTAGGTAAATGTTTGTATGAGCCTGAAATCATACCATGGGCCACTTGTTGTGGACATATGCTTGCAACTGGGAAGAATATACTGAGAATCCATAGCTGCCATTAGATCTTGAAAATCTTTTAACTCTACCACTAAGAAGAACTGCAGTGTACCAGCAATAAAATTGACAAGTTTATTAGTGGTGTGCTTCTGACAAGGGTGTGTAGACTTGTATTTAGTTGATTCTGTGCTTTTATGAATGTAGAAAAATGTAAGAAGATTCTAAGAACATTGAAAATGAATTGTCAGACCAAAAGAAGAGGTACATATCGTCTAAAAATGAATACAAAATACAGATTCAAAAAGAAGACAGTGAGATTTTTAAAGACTAGAACCAGTGGTGGTAAATTTGGCAGGTACTGGTAAAAGTGAAGCAGCTCTTGAGGCTCTTGCACTGTTATATGGAACTGACCAAACAGTAAATGTTCTTCATGGCAGTCTCCAGAGGGAGGATAAACAAAGAGAAGAACAAAAACAAATCAGCAAACTCTTAGACAGAGAAAAGCTCAAGCGTGTCTCACTAAGCATTGTAAGAACATCATGAATATAGCTTAATACAGCTTAATTACTAAGCTTGATAAATTATAGTGGAATTCTGTGCTATTGATATAGTAATTTATGATTTTTTGGTGAAATCAAATGTATATATAAAACCTAAAAAATATTATTTCGTTTCACATCCTCCATGTGCAAAATTTGATAAGGCTTAGCAACCTACGGCAAGCAGCAAATGAGTACAATGGTTGTAACCAGAAGAAATAATTATTTATTTATTTACTGTTCTGTGTTTTAAGAAAAAGAAGATTAAGAACTTATTTGTAAACAGTAATAATGTATATACATATATTATGTATAATAATTAAAATGTGACTGTATTTTACAAAATACTAATCCACTAAAACACAGCCAAGACAGGTCACTTTGTAAAGACCAGTCTTATATTCTTGGAAACCGTAACATGAGTGCACATGCGCCTTGTCATTGCAATTTGTATAATGTTAGCCAGGCACAACTGAAAGGTCAATATGATAAATATATATAAATGTACAATGTTATGAAATTTAAGCTATTTAGACTAAACAATTGTGTTTTTGTGTTATAATGTGTAGTCATTTTAGAACGAAAAAAAAGCATAATTTATATTTATTTCCTAATTTTTTTATGGTTACAAGGTTGGTCAAATTAACAGACCCTGTATAGTTAGGGTAAAGAAAATAACAGACAAAATATGAAGTTTTACTGAAAACAAACATTTGAAATCTATTTACGAGGTTTTAGAGATTACACAAATAATATTTGAGATTTTTGGGACGAAGACTAGTTTTTAATTATAATATGAAAATCACTTTGCACTCGGACTAGCAACGAAACACTCAATATTTTCACAAGCATGCCTGTAGTTAAAATACTTCATTAAAAATCTGATTTTTTGTGTACAAAAGACTTGTGATCTTTACTGAAAGTTTTCCAAATTTTGTGAAGATACACATACTGCATTAAAAGTTACAGTATAGATACTTAATGTGTACAACTGTGTATACAAACTCAAAGAACATAGACTGATAACATGCAAAAAAGTAGACAATGTTCCCTAACTCACAATTTTTCTGGCCTTCTAACTATGCGAGCGGTTACAAATTCATCCAAGCTAGTTGTTAATTTTTCCATGGGAATGAAGCTTGAACTAACAGTAAAATTTAGAATTTTCCTTTCAGAAAACAACGTTATACAATATGTTATTTGATAGATGAAAACCTTGGCTTTCTATCTGTTACAGATAATATAGGATTAAATGTAAGAGAGAACTATTAACAAATGCTGAAAGAGATGATGTGACAAGTGGGTGTGGCAAGAGGGGTCTGATTTTCTATTTGATACCTCTGTAACCAAACAAAATTGAAGGCTTTAAAAATTATGGATAGTCTGAGCAATAACAATTTTATAGTGAGTAATTTACATTTAATTTCACACTTATTGGAGGGGTGGTGGATAAAATATAGAAGAAAAGATGCACAGAGAAAATGTCACACTAGGGAAAATTCAGGAATTTTTTAAACATTGCCATATAAAATTAAAAACTTAAAACTTATATAATATTAAAATATAGATTATAAGCAAATATTTTATGCTATACTAATTGAAATAACATAAATAAAAAGTATATTAATCAAATTTTGAATTTAAGTCTAAAAACCTTGAGCTATTTTCTGTAAAAGATGCCTGTTGTTATAGGGTTAATACTGTTTCCTTGTCTTCTACTATACAAATTCAAGAATGATGGTAGTTACTACTGATGAATCTCCATCTTTTACTATCCCAGTGCAAGGCTGGTGGTAGTTACTAAAGATGTTTCTCTGTTTTCGACTATTGTAGTGGAAGACTGATGACAGTTATTAATGATGTTTCTCTGTCTTCTACTATGGTAGTGGAAAACTGATAGCAGTTACTAAAGATATTTCTCTGTCTTCTACTATCTTAATGCAAGATTGATACAGTTATTAATGATGTTTCTTTCTTTTATACTGTTTAAGTGCAAGATTGATACAGTTATTAATGATTTTCCCTTGTCTTCTTTCTTAATGCAAGATTGATAGTTATTAATGATGTTTCTCTGTCTTCTACTATTGTAGTGGAACATTGGTACAGTTATTAATGATGTTTCTCTGTCTTCTACTATTGTAGTGGAACATTGGTACAGTTATTAATGATGTTTCTCTGTCTTCTACTATTGTAGTGGAACATTGGTACAGTTATTAACGATGTTTCTCTGTCTTCTACAATTGTAGTGGAACATTAGTACAGTTATTAATGATGTTTCTCT